CAGTGCCAGGGCACTGCTGTGCAGCACGCCTGGGCTGGACCCACAGGTTGGCTGTGCCTGGGGGTGGGCAGGGAGGGGGCAGACGGAGGCATCTCTCCCTCTGGCCCTGTGAACCTGCTTGCAGGACAGGAAAGCATGGTGGCTGAGGCTTTCGTTGCTGCTTAGCTGCTTGCTTTGTCCCCGTGCTCCAGAAGCAGCGCTCCTCGGTGGATCGTGCTAGGAGGGAAACTGAGGCAGGGGCTGAGCCAGCTGCCAGGCATGGGCAGGGGAGGTGTCATGCTGGGCCCAGATTGGACCTGTCCTCCCCAGCTCTGCTGGTGATCTGGGGGGTGCCTCCCCCAGACCCTGCTTTCCCGCCTTCCCTGGGCTTTTGCTTCCCCATGCAGCTGCCCGAAGCTTTGGACCAAAGTTGGTGGCATGGATTGCGGTTGCCCTGCAGCATGCTGGCTTCCAGCTGTGGTGGGGAGGGGGGAGGCGGAGAGCCCCCCAGCCCCCCCTCAACCCTGCTGATGGGCACAGGACAAGGCAGGGGCCACCCCTTGGCTTATGTGGCTGCTCCTTGCCTGGGCCATACTCCTCCATCCCCTGGGGCACACTCCTTGTCCCCCTGCAGGTGACTTTGCTCTGAGGGAGGTTGGAGATGGGGTGTCCTGCATCCAGCCTTGTTCCTGTCAGCTGGCACCCCTCCAGAGGGGACTGGGACGGACAGTGACATGTCTGTCTCCCATGAAGGACATGCCATGCCATGCCATGCCTTGCCACCAGTCCTCTCTCATCCCTAGAAAGATATGGTGGCACCGTGCATTGTGGGGAGGCACAGCCTGCCCTGTCCCCCTCCACCCGTGTTCTGATGCTGGGGAGCTGTGGGTCCCTCTGGCCTGGCTGGAGATTCACCCCAGCTGTGGCAGTGGGAGTGGGACCCAGGGGCTCCAGATTGGCAGCAATCGCTCACATCACCAAAAGGTGCCCGGAGAAGGGGGAAACATGTTGCTTAACGGGCAAAAATTGGTTGAGGTTGAGCTGAGCCCTGGGTACTGTACTGGGAGTCCTGTGGGTGAGTGGCCTCATGTTGGGATGGGGGTGAGATGCTGCTGTGTGGGTCACCCCCCACCTCGGCTCAGGAGGCAGCAGGCAGGAGACTTTGCTCTTTGAGGAAGGTCCCAGGCAGTGTCTGGGGCTCAGAAATGCTGAGTCCCTTCTGCGGGTTGTTTACAAGCTGTGCCTGGGCCGGCAGCGACAGCCCAGGGACCACAAAGAGCCTGAAACCGTACACTAATGGCTCAGGTCGGCTAATGGACACGGGGCCCCGACACCCCCTCCAGAGCCATCCATACTGCCTGCCGTGCTTCCCCTGCCCCGGCTGCCGCCCTGTGCTCTCCCTGCCGGTCCCCTGCCTGCAGCTGTCTCTGCCCAGGCCATGCTGGTGGTGTCCTGGGGATGGGCTGTGCTGGGAGGTGTCGTGCTGCTGTGGTGATGGGCTGGGAATGGAGCATCTCCAGAGGAGACTGGAAAAATGCCCTAGCCCTGGAGAAGGGTTTGATGGGAGCATCTTGCAGTGAGACCCCATCTGTCCCTGGAGGACTGCGGAGGGGAGTGGGATGATGCAGGGAACTCGAGGCTTAGTGGGTTCCCAAACTCAGCTGGGCGAGGCCCCAGGCAACCTGTCCTTCAGTTGGAGCTGGCGATGCTCTGAGCAAGGGTTTGGGTGGGAGAGCTGGTTGTCTGCACCCCCTCACCCTTGGCACTGTCCCCCCTCGGATCCTGTGTAGCACTGGTGGTGTGGCCAGAGCTGCTGCCTGGCAGCAGTGGTGGAGCATCTCCCATGGGTGTGCTGTGTTCCAGGACCTTCAGGGGCAATCGATGCCGGAGCTGGCATTGTTTACCAGCTGGTTAATCACTGATGGGCCATGTCACTCCACCACTGCCCTGTGCCACCGTGGCTGTCCCCAGCCCTGAACGTCTCCCGGCAGAGCCACCTGCATGCTGCTGAGATGCCTGAGGGGCTCCCAGCCCCCTGCCAAGAGCCCGCTGCAGCCAAACGCTCGGGAGGGCACAAGCGAAGAGAAGCGCTATTGATTTTGGCTGCTGAAGTGCAGCATCAATAATTCAGTGCAGAGCAATCGGTCCTGTCTGGGAGGAGGGGTGGGCAGGAGGTAGAAGGTGGGAGAGCCACCCATGTAGCCCGGCCTCAGATGGGTATTAGATGAAGCTGCAGATTGCTATCGGCAGGATAATTGGTGCCTGCCCAGGGCTGTCCCTACCCCAGACAGGTCAGGGCCTGTGTGTGGGGCAGGCAGGATCGGGGGTGTCTTGGAGGGGTGCGGGCTGGGAGGGCAGGTCCAGCCCTGTCCTCTGCACGCAACCACGTGACGGTCCAAACCAGCCCCAGCGCGGGGTGTGCTGGCTCCTGCCTTCCTTGGGGGGCTGCTGCTGCCCCAGAGCTGAGGATTTGGAGGGGGATGCGGAGCTGGGGAGAAGGCCAAACCCCTCCAGAGTTTGGGGAGGAATGGGAGGAAGCAGCAGCAGCCTGCCTGGGTGCCACCAGCACCCTAAAGGATGCCAGGCAGGAGGGTGGGGGCAGCAAGCAGCATGGCCACCTCCCAGGGGCGTCTCGGGGCGAGGGTCCCTCTGGAGAGGGGAGAAAATGAGCATCCCTGCGGCGCTGGCGAGAGCGATGCCCCGTGCCAAGCTCTGCTTTACTCCTGCTTTCCAAGAATGCCTTTGGCAGGAGGGCAGCGTCTTGGATGAAGGAGGGACTGGCCCTTCGGGGCGCAGTCCCAGGGGTCCCCGGGGTGAGGGCACCATCCAGCCTGGTCGGTTTGACAGATCTGAGATGTCAAAGAGAGCTGGCTGTGGGTGTGGTAGATCTTGGAGCACTGAAATCCTGCATGGGACAGCTGTGAGTGATCCAGGTTGAAGTCTGGGATCCCCTGGGTTGGGGTACACCAGGGTTTCCCCATGTTCTGCGGGTTTAACCCTTGCCTGTTCTTTCCTGAGGGCTGGGAGGTTTTTCAGCTGGCTCTAGGGCTGGGCAGGGTCTGGTGGCTGAATCAGGAGAGAGCTGCTGGCTCATGGTGAGGGCTTGCAAAGCAGGAGGGGAAGGGGGAGAGGTGTATGGTACTCATGGCCAGGCTCCAGGTTTGGATCCCGGAATAGCCTTACACGCTGAGGCATGCTGTAGCTGGGCTGCATCCTGCCAGCACTGGGGTCTTGGAGAAGAAGGTCTCCTGCGGACCCTATGCTCCGCTCTGTAGAACATCTCCCCTGTGCTCCACACCCAGGGACATCAGCCCTGGTCATCATCGTGGGCACAGGATGGGCTGAGCTGTCTCATCCTGCACAGAAAGGGTGAAGCTGGGGAAGAGGGAGACTTGGTCCTGGATCCCCTTGGCTGTGACCACTGCAGCTGGGGCCAGGGCTGAGCATCTCTCCCAGCACCGAGCTCCCTGAGGACTGCAGTGCCCACGGCGCACACCCCATCGACTCTGCCACTGCGTGGTGTCACGTCCCGCTCAGCCCAGCCAGACGTAATTAGCTTGTTGAATCTCTTCTCCCTCCGGCCTCACGTTAATCACTTTTCACATTGCTTCCCTCCCAATTCCCTCTGGCCTGGCTCACTCTTTCTGTTGCTGGTCTGCCTGGAGAGGAGAGCAAGGGGACCCGGCTGGACGCAGACTGGGGACCCCACTCTGCTGCATCCTGCCCAGAGACGGGCTCTGAGCCAGCGGATGGAGGGGCAGGGAGATCGCTCAGCCACAGAGAGGTGAGAAAATTGCAGGCTGGAGAAAAAGCCGTAAAGCTAGAGATCAAGGGAGCCTGTTGGGACAGCCCTGCTCTGCAGCCCTGTTCTGCTGCTGGAGGATGAAGCCTTACAGTCCAGTGGGAGGGGCTGGCTTGGGGGGGGCCTGGGGCTCTCTGCCACAGGGCTGTGTTGGGCTGCAGGGTGCCATGAGATGTCAACAGGGTCTCCTTCACCTCTCCCCTGCGAGGGGCAGGATGAGACCCTGGGACTGGGCATAGGTGGGAATAGAGGTGCCCTGGCCAGAGCTCTGTGGGGTTGTGGGCCCCAGAGTGCAGACAGCAGGAGGTCCATCCCCTCCCAGGGCCGCAAGGAAATGTCTTGTTCCCCACGGGCGCCTGCCCTGGGACTTGCTGTGCTGCTGGAGCAGGAGGTGGCCAGATCAGAAGCAACTTTTAGGTGAGAGAGATGCATAGAAATCTGGCTCAGAGACTTTGTGAAAATGACTGCCGCCAGGCTGGGGTCTCTGCCCTGCTGCCCACGAGGCAGGGCTTTGGGTGGGCTGCAGGGAGCCCCCAC